CATTTGTGTAAGGGCAAAAAGCGCCTATACAGTACATGTATTAGAAGATAATATTTAAAATTATGAATCACAGTGATGGTATCCACTTTCATATGAATTACTTATAGTATGTTTGTCTGGGCTATGTTATAGTGGTTATTATCATATACCATGTATTGCCAGGCCTCGTAACACTATGGAAAATGTGTTGTCACATCAGGACAATAATTTTCCATAGCCCAGCATGCCAGGCAACAATCTGCGTCATTCTAAATTATGTTGTGTGTTTGAGGTCACAGTGTGGTAAAATTGTAATTACACCTATAAGGTGTATGATAAAAGCCTTACAGACTGGATACAGCTTTTGATGCCTTTGGTCGTATGGGTCACACAAGCTTGGATGCTTCTGTCGTATGACCTTGTCTGCAAAAGTCGAATCCAGTCCATAAAGAATAGCTTTTTCACTGCATATCAAAGACCTTCTTGGTTTTGATTCTCTGCGCTGACTGTTACGTCTGGCCTACTTTTCAATCATTTAGGAGGTTGTTTTCCACTTGTCAACTAGCACATGAGACAAAAAAAAAGTCAGGAAAGACAGCAGTGACTTTAATGTCTGGAAATGTTACCTGGCATATTTAAAAAATATTTTTTGGGTTCATCCTTCCATCCATCAATCATAATTTTTCGAATATGCCTGAACTGATACTGTTTAATAGTGCTACAATGACAAGTCATTATGGAAGACATGCATATTGGTTTGTTTTTTGTTTAGATGACATCAGTGGCCATTGAAACATGTCATCATCCTAGGCAAACTTTGCATTGGAATCGTGTATCATCATGGCTACTGATGCATGTCATCTTGTTTCGTGATTTGATTAAAAATGGCCGACTGGTGGCCGTTTGATTTATTGTACGGTACTCGTTTCTCAGATACACATTGACATGTTTGGTTGGAATTCGGTACAAAAAAGACACAGTGGTTTGAAAGTTGTCTTTAGTTATTTTGATGAATATCCAACTGGTAGCTATTTAGTACATGTCAATCAACCGTTTTGCAACGTTGTCTCAACCGATTTTAATTTTAATTTGATATTAACCGATTATCCGATTAACCGATTTTAATTAAACTTGATATTCAAATCATTTATGTCCATGATTAATAATAATAACAATAATTGCTAATTGGTGGCCATGTTGGAGTACAGAATGCATATCCAATATCAGGGGATTTTCTAGAAATAATGAGCAAGAGGGTGTATACACAGGTGACCACCTGGAGTAATTTTGGTGTCCAGACACATTGTCAGCTGGTATTGCTGGGAAGTTTTCACACAGAAAAGATTTTATGTTATACGGCAGCACGGAAGTGTGCGGCTCAAGAAATATATTTATGACTTGAAAGTTCAATTGGCAATTCGGTAAGAGGGTGCCAGCCGAGAGTATCAGGGCGCTGCGCCCCTACATGTATGTCCCGGTTTAGAAAAAAACCTGCAATATGGCACTGTGGGAAGATCATTTTCGTTATTATGATATATTTGCAGAATGTGTTTGGTGTTTAATCTCCTGTGATACTGTATATCTTGGCCTGTTTTCTGCCCTAAACCTGACTGGTGCATAGCACCACATGCCATGGTCCTAGAATATGTATGTGCATATTGCTCTACAATAAAACACACAGCGTTGATCATAAACAAAAAAATGCTTTATATAAAGGACTTTGTTCCAGTTTTTACATCTCAAACACTGATGGAAATATTGCAAGTTTTTTTGATATGGTTTTTCAGCTAATTAGATAAGGAATCAATTTTTTCTTGGAACAGATTAAAGGTTGACTATTTGAAATTGAGACAAAGCTTTTCGTTTACACTTTGTTTTGATTATTATGTAGCAGTTATATGTATTTCCTTCCATTTTTAAGCGCTCATCAACTTTTAAATTTAAATATTGAATTGCAGCTGACTACCCACTCTAATGTAGTTCAAACTATAGGTCTTTTGCTGTTTAAAAAAAAAAATTGCTTAGTATTTACAACATACTATGGAGGAGCAAAATTTTGCTGACTTGTAAAACTTTGCGAACATTTTACCTACTCAGTGTGATAGTTGTACAGAGATAATGTCTTTATATGAACAATAGTATGTTATGATATTTGGTGTCGTTTGTTGTTTTATTGGCAGGTTGTACAGTCAATGTTTGGCTACATGACAGATATTAACACAGTAGAAATGACAGATACGCAAAGAATAGAAGCAGAAGGTAGGACATATATAGTGATGAAATGAGTACTATTAGTAACAGTAAGATTTGGAAACAGCCTTTGACGTATTCTCAAGTCTTGCCTATAAAGAATCAATACAATGTTCACATATAGCATCTACTTTGAAACAGTTGTATAACCATACATTCTAGTTAATGTTCTTTATAATATGTCATATCTCCATTTGCTCTTTAAAAATGGGATTTAAAGGAATTTTTTACTCATGTACTGTAAAATACTTTATTTTACATGGAATTAATTTTTGCTGAATAGACTTTTTGGGTGTTTTGTATGGAATTTATTTTCACTGATATTTGATGAAATGAATTTAATAATAAAATATATAAACAACGGTATATTCACTTGATTTTATTTTCACTGAATCAGCGAGAATAGTGAAGTGGAAAATAAAAGATTCTACAGTATATTATATTTATTCAAATGAATAAACTTGTTAGATTGTTATTTATGTGCAAACCATATATGGTTTGAATTCTTCCACTGCAAGAAATTCATCAACTACTGGAAAGATGGGACATACTGAATATTAATGTGTTTTTTTTATTTATTAATGTTACTATTCTGTTTCAGGTCATGATATGATATCGCTGTTATATCAACTCCTCGATGAATTCCTTTTTGTCTTCTCAGCAGAACCTTTTTTTATTGCAAAAGTAAGATATTCATATATCCTGATTTTTGAGTTAGAAATCAATTTTATTGGATTACTCACTGAAAATGACTTCACCCACTTTAAATGACACTGTTTCATTTGAATGACACTGTTTTCATTTAGACCACATACTGTAAATGACATTGTTTTCATTTGGTCATTTATTGTTTTTCATTATGACCCCAATTTTCATTGGTCATTTAGTAAGATATTCATATATCCTAATTTTTGAGTTAGAAATCAATTTCATTGGATTACTCACTGAAATCGACTTCACCCACTTTAAATGACACTGTTCTAATTTGGATTACTTACTTTAATTGACACTGTTTTCATTTAGACCACATACAGTAAATGACATTGTTCTCATTTGGTCATTTATTGTTTTTCACTGTGACTCCAATTTTCATTGGTCATTTAGCACAAATAACAATTTTGTCATTGAATCATTTACTGGAAATAACTTTTTTCATTGGGTGATCATCAGTAATTTCAATGGATTACTCACAGAAAATGACATCACTCACTTTAAATGACAGTTTTCATTTGGATCACATATTGTAAATGACATTGTTTTCATTTGATCATTTATTGTTTTCCACTATGACCCCAATTTTCATTGGTCATTTACCTCAAATAACAAACTTGTCATTGAATAATTTACTGGAAATAAAAAAAATTCATTGGGCCGATCATCAGTAATTTCAATGGATTACTCACTGAAAATGACTTCACTCACTTTAAATGACACTGTTCTCATTTGGATTACTTACTTTAAATGACACTGTTTTCATTTAGACCACATACTGTAAATGACATTGTTTTCATTTGGTCATTCATTGTTTTTCACTATGACCCCAATTTTCATTGGTCATTTAGTACAAATAACAATTTTGTCATTGAATCATTTACTGGAAATAACTTTTTTTCATTGGGCCGATCATCAGTAATTTCAATGGATTACTCACTGATAATGACTTCACTCACTTTAAATGACACTGTTCTCATTTGGATTACTTACTTTAAATGACACCGTTTTCATTTAGACCACATACTGTAAATGACATTGTTTTCATTTGGTCATTTATTGTTTTTCACTATGACCCCAATTTTCATTGGTCATTTAGTACAAATAACAATTTTGTTATTGAATCATTTACTGGAAATAACTTTTTTCATTGGGTCGATCATCAGTAATTTCAATGGATTACTCACAGAAAATGACATCACTCACATTAAATGACAGTTTTCATTTGGATCACATATTGTAAATGACATTGTTTTCATTTGATCATTTATTGTTTTCCACTATGACCCCAATTTTCATTGGTCATTTACCACAAATAACAAACTTGTCATTGAATCATTTACTGGTAATAACTTTTTTCATTGGATCGATCATTTATTTGAAATGATACTATTTTCATTGGTACAGATTTTTTGTTTCCACTAAATACTAAAAAAACCTGGTGATGGTCCAAGTTTCAAACCTATGAAATAAAATAAATGAAAGATTAGAAATTCTGCCAATTTATCGCACTTGAATGACTTGCACATTACAATGTGGTGTAAAATTGGTATGCAGGTGGCTTTTTAAATTTATTTTAGTCTGAAATAATCATTAAAATTCATGTTTTGTCATGAAAACAAACAAATGCTGTGGTGCACATATTTTTAATGGACACAGTTACCAGAAAGATGAATAATTTTGTAGGCCTTACTTAAAGCGCTACACAGTATGTGTTCACATTTCATACAATATATTTTACACACACTGTACTTGTTGAATGGGAACCGTATTAAATGCAAATGAGTTTTTTTGCCCAAAACCTAAATTCACTTGTTTTCAGTGTCAGTTGTACAAGATATATTAGGACAGAAATGTGTTTCTTCCATACTGAATTTTGCAAAAGATTTTGGGTAGAAAATTGAATCAAATTTTAAAAACTGTCTAAAACACAGCAACATATCAGTATGACATGGCTTATTTTAAATTTGAATTGCAGCGAATAGATATTTTCATAGGTTACTAGAGTCTCTAAATACATCATGCAATCTATAAAATTTTTACTAACTGTCAACGTAAGTCAGTTATGAATCGTGATGATTTTATATATGATAGTGCTCCCTCTGTAGTCAAAAAGTTGAAATGTTCAAAATGAATAAATCCAATTGGCTGCCTATGAAAATATGATGTTTACATGTGTTTTGCATATATATTAAATGTTTGTATCTTTTGGCTGTAATTACCATCTAGATTACATGTTTAAAAGAAGTCAACAATCTCTTTTTATGGAGGGGTGGTGCGTTTGCATCTTTCACATTTTGGCATTCATTATTTGTATCTTTTTTTGTAGGAAGTAAAAATTATTGAATTTGATAGAGAAAATTTCAAGATTGTGGCAGAAGGGTAAGTAGTTTGTGTTGCATAATTTTGTGATACACGAATGTTATAACAGCCTTAGTGGATGAGTCCACATCTGCCTCGTTTAACCTTTTTACCACCTTTCCCAAATTATTCTGCACTTTTTTGTTTATATTCTTCAATATTTCTGGAAATGAACCCTAATTTTGGAGCCAACAGGCAAACAAAATTCATGGCGATTTTCAGTCAAAAAATGTGGCTACTTTTGCCCAAATATTTTATAGGAAAGTGCAGACTATAAACAGGACTATTTTGTGAATTTGTGATGAAAAGGAGGGAACTGGTGGTGAAAAGGTTAACATGTCAATTACATTTGTTTTACAGATATGGGGAGACTTTTGACCTAGATAAACATCCACAGGTAAGCACATGATGACTTTTCAAGTGGACATAATGTTTTTCATTTGCAACTGTGATGTGGGTAAAGCTCATTCATTGTCAACTGTCACATCCTACAAAATCGAAATTAGGACATTCCCACATGTCCATCACACTGTCGCTGTGACTTGCCCAATGGGGATTTGAAGTTGTATACAAAATTCTTTTACAGATTTCTATAAATGCAGCATGTAAATTAAACATAATAAACAAATATACATATGTATTTATTTATTTATTAGATGAGTACACTTTTAAAGGGACAAGCAGTTTTATTCCCAAACCTTCCATGGGCATTTTCATGAGTTAGTAATAGAATACTTGTTCCTGTATCTTATTTTCAAACAGGGCACTGAAGTAAAGGCAATCACTTACTCCAACATGCAGGTACATGAAGAGGTGCCGACCAATGACTGTTATGTAATAATTGATATCTAGCTAAATTATATCATACAAGAAATGGACCTCACATTTCTAATGACTTTTCTCGAACCGGTCACACTGCCCTCATGTGACCAAAGACAGTTTATATTTGTTTTTTATTCAAGATGTTTTTCAACCACTGCATGCATCCATTCTAAAGAACTCTTCTGGTTTTCGCTGAAATATTTGTAAAAATAAAAGAAAAAACACCTGCAACATCTCAGGACTAGCCTATGAAATAAATTCAGCCACATAATCACCATTTTTACCAGATAGTCATACAAGAAATCCTAGCAACAGTGAACTATTGCTTGATTTGCAACACCACATTATAATTAGCTCCACTGTTATCTTATGGCATTCATTTATAAACAAATTCTTCTTGAAAATTACTGAATTGTATATTTGATGTATATCCACTTTGTGAGTTTTATATAATTTATTGATGATCATAATTGAACCAATTAAAACTGATAAACCTTTTTCTTTAAATATCTTCTCTGAAAATGTTGAATATACAATACAGATTTAGGTTGATGTTACCATGTGAGAACTAAAAACTGAGACTTATTTGTTTGCAATCTGTCCACTTTTTCATTCTTAAAAGATCATGACTGGGATTCTACTCTGAAATGTATCCCATCATGCACTGACACAGAATTTTGTTTTTTTGTGAAGATACAATCATGTACATTTTTAAAACATTTGTAAAATTCTGTAATAAATCTTTTTTTATTTAAACTTTCATTTCTCTTGT